GAGAGAAGAAGAGGGACGAGAGAGAGAGAGAGAGAGAGTACCGTCTGATTACGCGGATGCTCCTGTGGCTTGTCCACAGCCTCGGCCTTGGCCCCGTTGGGAGGCGTCGTGACGACGCTAATCCTGAGGGGACGGCCGGCGCCGCCGTTGTTTGTCGGCGCTGCATTATTGGTGGCGCCGACGGTCGCGGAGGACAAAGAGGACGATGCGGCGGCGCCCTTCTGGGTCCCGTTCACAAGGTCGTTCAGGCGGTCGCCGCCGTAGGCATCCGATTGCAGCGGCGCCGCCGCCGCCGCCCAGTTGGTCGGCGGTTCCTCGATCCACGGTCCGGATGAGCCGATATGGGCGCACACGTACAGCAACACGCACACGTTCAGCACCACTGACAGGCGTAGCGCCCAGTTCCTGCGGGCGATGGCTACGATGCTCATCCTCCAGATCCGATCGGCGGCGACGACGAGCGGGGGGGGAAGGGGGGCTGGCAAAGAGCGCGGACGGAGGATTTCGCAACGGTCTCGAGGGGATTCTTCTAGACGACGACGACGATGACGATGTCAGTCTGCTCCCGTATCGTTATCGATGCTCGAGTCTATTCTCTCGCTGGCGTCGACCCGCCGAGTCCATCCCTTCGCGGCCCACGACTGCTCGGCGATCAGGATCTGCTCATGGTCCCCCGGAGGCTGTCGACCGGGGCTCGGTTGCGTGCACCTGAAACGGAAGTGGAAGGGGACTTTTGATTATGACGCAGATTGCTACAAATTACTTCGAAAGCGTCGTGTTTCTGCTGCGACGCCGCGCACGCACTACATGCGTGTTCATTAGGCGAGCCTTTAGTATGGCCTTAGGAAACGAGTTAATTAAGAATCTGCACTATTAGCATCGGTTTTCTATAAATTCCGAGAGTTTTCGAAAATATAAAGTCATTAATACACCGTTCGATCGTCAGTGTCTTAATTATCTGTCTTAAATTTCTCTAAACAGCAATATAAAAGCAAGTTATTTCCTTATTTATTTTATTTGAAAGCAAGTTAAACACTCTCGAGCTTCCTTTAAATTATGTATACACATAAATTATATTACACATTTATATTAATGTAAAATGTAATATTTAATTAACGCATGTAAATTTATTTGCCATGCAAATTAACGTCGACATTTTTTACGAGAGTAGAAAAGTTTTTGATCTGATCAAGAAAGATTTCAGTAAAATTTCAATACTTGTTCAACACGAAAAGAACACTTTTGCTGGCTAAAAATTTGGCTAGATACAGATCTGAAAATGATTTTGTTGGGCCTTCAAAATTATTATATATATGATGTTCAAATTGATTGTTAGAAGATCAAACATTTTTTGCAGTATCATCATATTTAAGTGTTCTATAAAATAATTTTGATGGATTAACAAAATTATTTTCAGACCTGTATCTGGTCAAATTTTTAGATTTGCCAGCAAAAGTATTCTTTCCGTGAATAGATGATATTGAAAAAAAAACACAAAGCTAAGTTTGATATCATTCTAGCGATTAGTTTATTTCTGACATTCTTTTACAATAATAGTTTGTCAACAATGGAGAAATTAGAGAAATTTTATCGCGCCGTGATAAAATTCCTTTATCTGAAAGAGAAAACTCCTAAAAAATGAAAACTGAAATAGATTCAATATTTGAAGATGCTGCTCCTTCATTACAACCGTGAAAAAAACGTGATGAGTTCAAACATGGCAGAACGAGCATTTTCGATGAGGAATGTTCTGGACGATCAAAAATCGCAACAACGGATGAAATGATCGATTACTGAATGTTCACCAAATCGATTGTCGATCAACTTTGAGAGAGATAGCAAAAGCTGGTATCTCATATGAATGGGTGTACAACATTTTACACGAGGAATTAAGCATGAGAAAGCTGAGGGTGCCGCATTTGCTCACTGTTGATCAAAAACGAGATCGGTTGAATATTTCACGATTGTGTCTTGAGCGCGTTTCAAACGCGATAAAAAAGATTTTCTACGGCGTTTTATTATTGTCGACGAAAAAAATTGCTATTTGGGAAAAAAAAAATTGTCGTCGGATGCCGAAGTGATAAGTACCATTAATGGCTAATTTTCGAGTTTGAAGACAAAAGTTATTATATCGAGGAAATGAAAAGTCTAGAAAATCGTTGGAGCGCGTGTGTTGAGGGGAGACCATGTTGAGAAATAAATTTCATTTGGAACTAAAAAAAAAAAAAAAAAAAAATGTCTTCTTCTTTAGTTAGTTTAGATTGGTAGTCACTTTTCAATCTACCCTCGTATTTTACTTAACAACTCCACTACAACTTCAAACGCTGCAGCGACGTCCGCTGCAAATAGGTACACGTCGCTCCGCCTCGTTTCATCTCGCTTCAATAGCGGCAGCTACGATATCTCCCGTTTGATCACGTCTCGTTTATCTCACGATCCAGTTTATAGCGCGTGCTGCGCCGTGGAAGGCGACTTTCCCCCTATCTCGCATCTCTTCCTCCTCGTCGAGTGGCGCAACTGACGCTCTCATCGCGTCGCGTCGCGTCGCGTCGCGTCGCGTCGTAACGCAACATTATCGGGCCGGGTAGTCCGAATTGCGTAACGGTGGATTCCTTCCGCGGGACAGCGATCCCGTGGTTTGAGCAAGCGAGTGAAATCGAGAGGGAATGACACAGAAACGGCCATTATCGAGAGACGGACCCAGAAAGCGACTAGTAAGAAGCTAGTAAGAAGCTCGAGTCGTCGCGGGCCTCCTCGCAGTCGTCTATCTTGCGTCAACTCCTTCGGCAACGAGTTCCGAACAGGAGTCTCGAGTCACCCATCGGTGATATTCGACGACTTTCACGCAGGAAGACACCTCGCTTTCTGCCGCGTGTCTGCCGCTATGGTCGGAAATTTTCCGCTTGACTCTTCCTCAAAGGAAGTTCCAAGACGCTTGACTGAGTCTTGAAATTTATTTTTTTTCCCCCCTTTTGATAGAGTTTTACGTGATCGAAAGCACGTAGGAAATAACGGCTCGTTAAGTAAGCGAAACGCCGAAGATCGACTCCGCATCGAGATTTCGATTAAAAAGTAATATCGTATAACTGGGTCAACCGCCGTAATACAAGGCAAACGTCTCTAAATGAAAACCTGCGGGGGAAACAGACTTTAAAACTACTTTAGTAGGAAAACATTGTAACAGTATTTCGTGCCAAGGGAATAATTTATGGCATGCGATATTCGACCGTTATACGGCCAGGCGTATTTCAATCTTGAAGTTGGAATTATCGGCAGCATTGGCGAATTACACGATTCGCGCGATTTCCGCATGCAAAATGTACAATCCGCGACTTGAGGAGGAAAAAATTCGAATCTGCACGGAAAGAACAGCGTTTTGCTAAAGTACAGATCTGAAAATAATTTTAATTATGTCGTTAAAATTATTATGAAAGGTAAAACTTAAGCACGATAATACTGCAAAAATTTTTGACATTCTAGCAACTAATTTGAACATTTTACATAAATATTTTAGTGACATAACAAAATTATTTTTAGATCCGACTGAATTTTTAGATACTTTAATAAAACTATTTTTTCAAGTGCGAAAACTTTGATTCGTTTAAAAACTTTTTCGAATACAGATATAAAAATGAGTTGTACGAAATCCTTTTTAAGCTATATATATTTTTAATAAATATATAATATATAAGTATTAGATACTTTGTACCACGAAAAATTGTATCAAATTGTATCAAAATTGTATCAAAAATTGTATCAAAATTGTATCAAAAAAAAAAAAATTGTATCATTTTAATTTTCTCAAAATCAAATGTTTTTCAAATTTCTAAAGGTAATTAACAAAGATATTCTCCTTTTTTTTTTTATTAAAGAACATTAGATTTTTTTACAGAAATTCTAATCAATCACCTACTGTTATTTATTTATATTTTATAGTATTCTACAAAAAATACAATAAGAAGCAAACAGTTTTTCAGTAAAAACCACTCTATTTTTTCGATCTCTCTTTTCGTATTTTTACTGCCATTTCATTCATTTTTTTACCGAATTGTTTATCCTAGCCTATTCTATAGCGGAAAGCTTCCGAAATACAATGCCATTTGGCTCGGTTAAATATATCATATTACCCGCTTTCAATTTTTGCAAAACTACAGCTTCGTGCAATTTACATTGCGATAGGTTAAATTGCAATAGCTTCATACGCCAAATTAATTCATACTTTTAACAGATCTTTCTAAATATTCGCATTATTCGTTATTGAATAGTTGGCAATTTGCTTTTTCGATATTATACATCAATATTTTGTAATTTTGTAAATAAATTTTTATTGATAATATATAATATGAATAATTTACAAAAAAATTTCGTATTCAATCGAACCCTAAGCCTATATTAATGATCAAAGTTTACCGAGTTTTTGCATATATTCAAACCTTTCTATATCCCTTAAAAACTGCGCAATGTGCATTTCTGCATTGCAGTCGATAGTCGTATCTTCAATTCCAGATATTTACATAGTTGTCTTAGATAAAGCGAGCACAATAAGGCTTATCTATTTCAAAGCAACGAGAAAAATACGATAAGAGAACAATGATATAACGCGGGAAATGGCAACTGATGTTATCGATATCATCATCAAACTGATAATTTTCAATGCTGTCACGTAATTGCTACTTGCAAATATCGGAGAAGTACGAGATACGATGTGATGAAAAAAAAGCGATATCCAGTTTTTTTTTCCGCAATACAATATGTAGGCGTGCTCGGATAAAAGTGACTTCTGACGTGGGAGTATGGCCGTTCGAGATAAGAGCTCGATGCTCGATTTGATGGTCAATGCACGTGCTCGTTGACACGTTGATCGCGGTAGTCATCCATGACCGACATTATCGAAAATTTTTTTAAATGCTCGTAAAAGATTTATCTCGCGAAAGACGAGATGTCACCTCGTAAAAGATAAATGTCTGTGACGCTTTTACAGCAAATAGCCGGATAACAACGTAAAAAATTTACTATCGATACACAGTACCAAAATATCAGTCTCATTTTTATATTATATTATATTATTTTTATTATATTACACAATATTTTATATTTCTTTGCAATTACGAAAACTCTAACCAGGCGTACGCTATAGTGTGACGTACGAAGCTCGCTGGACGAGCAACGAGTTTGACGTGCGAAATAGCTATATCGAATAATTAGCGAGAAATCGCGAAGCGATGGACGGCGAGGCAATCGTATATGTAAAGGATACCAAATCGCGAGGGGGAAATAAAATTCACAAAACCGCCTTTCGAGAACCCGATTTCATCGTTGAAACGACGTTTTTAATTATCGACTTTCCTCAAAGAGCCAGCCATCCGTTCACCATCGATCGCATGGGGGAAACTGGGGAAACTCATCGACGACCGGTCGTAGGAGTTCTTTGATCGCCGGGAACGCAAACACGATCGCTATTTTTAAAACGCGAGCACACGTTTCTCGCCTGCCGTGCAAATCTCCCGTAAAGCTCGCGCTTTTATATGTGTACATACGGAAAGTTCGTGATAACGGATCGCGTTATCTCGTGAAAATTTTCACTCGATTCTTTCAACGCGCTCCGAGGTGGAAACGGCCGGTGTAATGCTGCTTCGCAGGAAACTTTTCTGTTACAACTTCGGGAATATTAACATGCTGACAGCCGCGTTTTCCGCCACGCTTATTACATCACGTTGCGCACGTAGAAATTTAATTACCTTCAATTTATATTACAGTCGAGAGAGAAATAAGGCATTATTTTAAAATAAAAACTAAAGACAGAATCGCTTTGAGAAAAATTAAAATTGAAGCTTTATTCTGAAATAAAACTATTTCAGAAATAGAATTACTTTAAAGCATTATTTTAGAGTAAAACTATTTAAAAAAATATTTAAGAGCTGTTTTTTAAAGCAGAA